CTCCGGCGTATCCTCGGTCGGAGAAAGGGGGTCGGGCGAGGTGGAGCCCGTGACCCAAAGGTCAGGCGAGGCGAGCCCATGAACAGAGGTCAGAGGTGCCGGTCGGGGTCTGGATCGTGGTCTTGGCCTGTTATTGTGTATCTGGGCCGGCCCTAGAGTGTGCTGTCGTTGCGTCGCCGATAGGGCCGAGTTTTGTAGGGAACCGGGTCCATTGGGGACCCCAGGGTTATGAACCCGACAATTTATAATATCAAATAAATACCATTAGTTTAATTACAAAATATATTTTTATAATAAATTAATTTAGAGCCATACATGTGAATACTATTCATTAGAAACTTGGTCAAACATGAACTACGTTAACAGGCACGCAACCCATATCTGTATTCTTTTTAGACATAGATAGTGAGAACATCTCCGAGAGACTCTTTATATCTTTCCTAATTTACAGGAATATAGTAAAAAACGCTTCAACAACCTATTCAATTGGATATCCAAATATACATATCGTATCTTCTGGATTTCCCGTTAACTAAAGAGGGAGGCGAGAATAGCTCTTTAGACTGTGCACAAGATATAGAAAAGCTGTTGAAGAATATAAAGATGTATAGAAAACAATTTTAGAGAGTAGATTATAGAAATACTCTGGGAGATAGCTCTAACATGCTAGCTCTATTCCTTTAGTATGGAAGACTGTAGCACCCGGTTTTAAGAACAAAACCAGATACACACCATATGTGAGCATAGGAAGTCAAATCTCACATATAGCTACAAATAAGGGTAATATCAATAGACAATGCTCAATATATAACGTACTTAGTATAAAGAATATAACCTTAGATAACAAATAGCGGGAAGACAACTCCGATCTTTGGGTGAAGACTCTAATTCCACAGGGACAACTAACTGGTTAATCACAAGACTAATTCATTCAAACTCTAGCAATTTGGTACCCATCCGGGATTTTCATCCAAATAATTGAAAAGTAAAGCAAGCGTAAGTACATGTCGTACTCAATAAATATAACATGGGGTTCATGAGGCTCAAAAGGCTGACATGGGTTTAACTGCGATTATCTTTTAATTGTCACAGTTTGAGGAATTGAGTAACATCAAGTTTATCACCAGCCCATGTAAACACATGATCAGGTAAACATGAATAATGAATAGCATAAACAGTAATCATTAGTGAGCATTTTCATCATCAGTATCATCTATGTTCATCATCTATTCCGTAAGGGTTCCAAGGCCGCTCGTGACTGTGAGCATGGCTGATATACCAGTTTTACACTCTGCAGAGGTTGTATACTTTCACTGTGAGTCGTGATTTACCCGTTCGCCCGAGGTGATCAGCCTCTTGACCCACTACCAAGGAAGGTCGGCAGGGTTCACTATGAAGCCTTTCAAAGGTTCGTCTAACAAGTTAGGGCCGCTAGGTTTCTGTGGCCTGCGAATGTAGAGCTCCCCTTCCGACAGGCACAATGACGCACAACCTATACACTTATGGACAGAGGCCGCACTATATCCAACCCGGAACACACCCCTCTTGCACCATAAAGGTAACCACTAACAAGCTAGAAAAGGTCCTCATACTAAGCTAAAGCCAGAGCCATGTAGCCCTCACAGCTGTAGTGTAAGTCCCGGATGATCACTTACAGATAAGTCCTTAGGGAGAGAATCTAGAGCACTATGAAAATAGCCCAATGCTCTAGCCCCCTTATTCCTTGTTGCTAAAAAGCATCTTTTAGTGTTTATTGCATATATCATTAGTCAAGTTACAAGATCATGGTTGTAGTTGAGCACTAGCATCAAACTACCCAATGCATATCCCAAAGGTATCAAGGTACAAGGTAACCAAAGACTAGGATATCCTTAGTGGCAGTCAAGGTAGACACATGTAGTATGAATTAAATGATTAAATGTGAATAGGACAACAAGGATGATCCCATGCTATACTTGCCTTAAAACACCGATCCTTCGGTAAGCTTTAATCTTCAACGCTTTCTTCTTCTTCTTGATCACCACGTATATCTCACCGACTGGACTTAATCATAAAGCACCACACAAGCATCCATACGATCATACACGAAGCAAACAATAGATCTAAATTAGAACAATACATCAAACATAAAATCAAGATGAAAAATTTGTAAAACGAATCTACGTCTCGCTACGAACACATAGACGCGAAGAGCACACTAATCGGAGCTATGGTTGAAAAGATGCAACTACCGAAAGATTTACTTTATACGCGAAAAAGAAAACTATAGGCTTCATTTATTTAACTATATAAAAGCTTATATAAATTGGATTAAATCAAATTTAGATTTGAATTATAAAACTAAAGTAAAACAAATCATATTTTATTTACAAAACCCAGTTGCATAATTATTAATCAAGATATGATTTAAACCATGAAATTCTAGTATTAGTGACATGATAAACATTGTTACTAACGCGTAGATCTTTTATCGCTATGAATCTAATGTAGCTTGAACGAGCTAAAACGGAGTTAAAACGTAAAAGATATGATTTAAATAAGATTTCCTTTAATAAAATCATAAATTGAATCTAATCACGAATTTTAAAAGTTGAAAACACATCTAACAGTAGTATAAACATGTAGATTATGATATTACGAACCTATCGCAAGTTGAACGGATCAAATCGGAGTTAAAACGGAGAAGTTATGGCTAAAACAAAATCAGTGGCAATTCTGTAAATAGCTGAAAACGTATTTTAAACTTTACCGAATCAAAATACGCTTTCAAATGATGAAAACAAAATCTGTAAACATGTTTTGGACTGCGGGTTCTATTTTCCAAAAATATAGGGTCTCTTTAGCAAAAAGAACAGCAAAAGGATATGTTTTAATCTGGGCCATCGATCTAAAAACGGACGGGTCAGGTGATGCGTATTTCTATTATATTTCTAGATTTGTTTTTTAAAGGAAAACGGCCATGAATTGAGCATGACGTGGAAGATGATGTCATCAAGCTAACAACCAAATTTAATCACGGTGACGCATCGCATGCATGGCTCTCGGCCGGTGGGTTAGGACAGCAAGAGAATAGCAGCGCAACTCCGACGATGATGATTCTCGATAAACTGATCGTGCAGGATGGCATGGCTCTTGATTTAGAAGAAGATGACTAGCGCTCCTATAAGCCAGCAGCAGGAAACACAGTTGTATATGTTAATCCGATGTGCTCGGCTACAGATTCGCAAAGGAGCAATTTCAGAACGTCCAGGAGGGGACCAACACAGATAACAGAGGTGGTGACGAGCATGGGCGTGTGCTCACCGTCGTTAGAAGAAGATCGGCGACGTCATGCGGCTAGGGAAGATGCATGTCCATGGAGCGGCCACGGTGGCACGGTAGCAACGTTGGCTCCCAGACACGTGAGCGGCAACAATTCTCCGGTGGTGGCGTCGATCGGTTTGCTCTGGCGTTATACCTGGCTTCCTGCAGGTCGCGACTCCACGGCAACAATGGAGCAGGATGGCGCGGCTCGGTCAGGGGCAGGGCTCGGAGAAACGTAGAAGATAGATGGGGTGGGGCACTTACCGATGGCCGAGAAGCAGCGAGGATGATCAGGCTGGGCAGCGCGGCGGCGACGGCGAGAGGAGGAGAAAAATATAATTTACTACACGATAAATTTCCTAAATTAGGGGCTCTCATACAGTAGTTTTGGTGTGCTTTACCCAAAGAATTGGTAGATATATATAGGAAGAAAAACTTTTCCACGTCCACGTCAACTAGCGATATGATACTAATTGACGTTGCACCATCCGCCTGCACTAATGGGCCTAAATAATCATTAAAGCACATTAGTAAATAAATACACGGGTCTTTAGGATTTATTAGGAATATTGTACATGGGCTTTGAGCGTTGGAAAAAATAAGAGATTTATTATTTTCGGAATTAATTAATTTCATGGATAAAATAATTCTAGAAAAGTTCAGAATTGATATTTAAGCCACGAAAAAAATACTCTGACCTCCGAAAATTTGGGGAAAATTCTCAGAGACCCTTTGGAACATGATGAACCCAAATAAAGTATTTCGAGCTCATAAAAATATTGTTGGGAACTTAGAACATAAAGATTAAGGTGAAGGAGGTAGAAATTAAATTCCAGAAAGAAGCTGGAAAATTCCTAGAGATAGATATTCGTCTCCTAAACGTATAAAACACACATTTTGCACATAGAAACACAAGGTGCGACCGGCATAAATGCAACAAACACGTTTCTACCTTATGATAAAATTTAAATTAATGAAAAATTTTATTTTCCTATATTTTATGAGTACTAAAATTTAGAAATAAATTATTTTATCCTATTTTTTTAAAGAGGTAAATTTTAGGGTGCTGATCCACCTCAGCTTGTGGCACGTACGCGCGCACTCTGGTGACAGTTCCGGAACCAACGTCACGCTGCCATCGAGATCGAGATGTGAAAGTGAAAGGCTGGCACGGCGCTGCCATCGAGATGCTGACCGTGCACCTTGGATAAGCCAGCGGACCATCAGCGAGGTCGAAGGTCCCGACGCTCGCTCGATCTCAGGCAGCCTCTCTGTATCCATCGCAACATCTGTACCACCTACCACCATGTACTCCACTCCACAGTTAATTTAAGCGACGACTCACGTCAGGCTGTACGCATAGAGCCGTGTGACAACAAACAAATCCCCTCCAGCCCAGGCCATTACATCATTAGATTAGACCACCATTAAACTAACTGGTTAGGTGAGCGAGCTCCGTACGCCACCAGTGCACTGTGCATGCACAACTACGACTTGTATTGCTTCCTCGACGCTTGCGTCTGAACCGAAACGATACGAATAGTAGTATATTACCGATGCCACAGGGAGCTAGCGGAGAGTTGACATGCGTTTATTTGAAGCGCACACCCCCAAAACCAAAAAGTCGCAAGTCTCGCCTGCCGGCCATTTCGTGATCGCCAACAACATACACTCGCAACGCAGCAGCAGCAGCAGCCATGGAGGAGGAGGAAGCCGGGAGAAGGATGGAGAGAGGAGATGAACAGCTGGCTAGGACGACGGGCAGCCGGAGGGTGACGGCCATCGTCAGAGCTAGCGGCGGTGGCGAGATTGAGATACAGATGGAGGCCGCCACCGCGGTCGGTAGCGCGGCATCGGCGGCGGCGGCGTCGACGTCGTCGGGTCAGGAAGGCGATGCAGAAGAAGGCCTCCAGCAGGTTCGATCGCTTCCTTTTCAAATTTTTTTTTCTGCATCTTGTCGGTGTGGATGCATAATTGCATAGAAAGATTTGGAGTGTGTGGAGACAGCTTGCATGGATATCGTAGTTGCATCACCGATATATCTGAGGCGTTATTAATTCGAAGGATTTTAAATTGATGTTAGTGCTTGTCAGCGACTAAGTATAGGATAGCTGCGCGCGCTTGATCCTTTATTTGTGTACATGCAGCTGACCTGACCCGGCTGCTCCACTCAACTCGCCTACAGATTAGGATCGGCTAGCAGTGAGTGCAGCTCCGGCTCTTGTAATTTAACCTCCACTGATGCAAAGGAATACGAGCGGTGATTCTCTCCCATACTCATCACTAGGGCCTACTCATCACTCTTACAGTGCTACTGGAGTAAACGAATTATTTTAGAAGGCCAAGAGGGTGATGAATTTTCGCTCTAAATTTGAAAAGTTCATCTATCCCTATATATATATAATAATAAAAAGGCGAAATTTCAGGGTTTTTTTTTCGTCCAGCCCATTCGTTCGTCTGGCCCATTCAATCCGGCCCACAACAGGCCCACTGCTCAGACCCGCTTCTACCAACACGCCTTTTCCGCGCACGGCTGCTCGACCGCCGCTCGTCCGCTCTAGCCCGGTCGCTTCGGTAAGCCTCCGCGCTGCGGCTCCCCATAAACCTCGACACGGCAGCTCCCCATCCACCTCAACCCGGATGGTCCTGCCGGTAGCATGAAGAGGATGCCATCGTGGGTGGCGAGAAGGGCGCTACGAAACCGGATCTCGCCGTACCAGCCAAGAAATTGAGGTAGGGCCGACCACTCGCCAGTGCCCGATGGAGAGCTTCAGCCGCAGCTCGCAGGTTGGCGCCGACGCCGGTGTCCCGTGCCCGGTGGGGAGCCGCTGGGCTGGGCGCTGCCCCGCCGGCCGCACGCCGCCACCGGCCCACCACACAGCAAGAGACAGGGAGGACGGGAGGCGGGAGAGGGAGGGTCAGAGGCCACAGAGGGGGAGCTGGCGCGCCGACGAGAGGCCGAACCGCGTCCATCGAGGCGTCGAGGCTAAGTCGCTAAGGCCTGATGGGCCTGTCCGGCCACGGCCGAACGGCTCAATGCCCCATATACGCGCCCCAAAGCCCACAACTCAGAAGCCCAGGGAGGACAGGATGAGCTTGTGGATAAAGAGCAATCAAGTAATTTCCTCTTCTCTTGCTAATATTTTTTTTAATCTCGCTCTCCTTAACTACCTGTGGGAAGTATGGTGAAAATGAGATAAAAATTACTCCTTCCGAAGCCGTGTAAAGAATATAAAAAATATATGTACTTCCAAACACTGTATTCCGTAACATGGAGCCATTCTAAGTCCTAAAGAGGAAAAATGAACTATGGGAGAGACGGAGCCGGCGAATTAAAGCCACGATTCTGAGCTCCTTTGGCTCATGCGTGCTACAATACTGCTATGATGGTTGTATACAGTGTGGAAGCTGGAGCAGCTGCACCAAACAACCTGTAAGTCGATATGGATTTCAATGTCTGAAATCAAATTGGTTCTAAACCGAGCGGGCCAAGAGGCCAGCAGAGGGATTCAAACTGGGAAAAGAGAAAAGAAATTAGTTCTAAATAAATTTTTTTGTTATAAATGGCTCACTAGCACACTAATAGAAACACTAGAGAAGATGGGATCAACCTAACTAAACTAACGCCTGAGTAACCCTGCTCTATACATCTGCTGAAGATCTATACCGATACATTTAATTCATCATCAAGTAGTAGTTTGTTTTCCCTGTAGCATGCAACATAATAATTTGATGTTTTGTATTATATTGGATTTTGATTATGCATTTTCTGATTTTTTTTTGTTTAGAACGATAAATAATATTACTCCTGTTGCAACGCACGGACAATTTTGCTAGTATATATAACGACGACATGCCGGTATATAAATTTTCTAAGACCAAATACGTTACAATTTTATATGATCCACTCTAGGGAAAATCCCAACAAAATTTTCAATCTGTTTGAATAATGTGTCATATATATCACTTGTTCCAACATCACTGTCGGGTCTAAATTCAGCGTCACTGCTCGAAATGGCAATGATGGGTCTCGTCTATCAGTGTCGGTTTAGCACCTCAGGCGTAGAACATTTTACTGGCAGCGATAGCATGAGGCGTCACTGCAGGGTTTGACTTTTACCCGATAGTGATAGTTTGTAGGGTCACTGCCAGGTCAATTACTTGAACTGGTAGCAGCTTTCATTTTCTCATTTTTACATACATTTTATTACCATTAAATAGAATTTGCTGACCAACATTTTATATTTGTTATTATCAGTAACGTATAACACATATCTCACTGACTCACTGCCATTATATATCTCATAAGATTCGATAATGAATACATCATAATTACAAAACCATGTATACATAATTAGAAAACCATGAAGTCAGTGCAAACAAAAATCTCTTAAATACAAAACAAGTGGACCACCCACTCCTATTACTTGTTAGGAGTACTTGCTATGACATAGCCCATGTAGTGAACATATCTTTGATTGTGTAACCAAGCACATCATTTAAGTACTTTAACGAATGAATTAGTGCATTATGTTTTGCTTCACCAGTCCGAGGACAGGGTGTACCAAAGATGGAAGAATTTGGCAGGATTGTAAATTAATCTAAAGCAAAATGCAAATTACCCTGCATTCCATGTGAGGTGGATCTTGAACCTACATAGTACCAGCGGTACTGATGGAAATAGGGTCCCAATCTTCCATCACAAGTGGAGGTAACTATCGATTTGGCGGAGATGCGACACACCGATCAAGCTTCATATCATAAGACCCGAACCTTGCATCTTATAGCACCACGTCTCCTTTGATTATCAATCGTGTCACAATCCGGTTGACTTCACCAAGAAGGCTAATCCCTGCCTGCAAATGGAAGAACACAACCAAGAACAAGATAAAACACAACTCAAGTAAAGTGACAATTGCGGATGTATGATTAATGTTTCACAAACTGATGATGGCGACTGTTCAAATATAGATTGATCTAAAGCAAAACCCAAAGCATAACTCGGAAGATGGCTACTAAATATATATCGTCTAAGGGGCGTGCACAACCCCTGGAGGTGCCCCCTAATGGCCTCTAAGACGATACACGACCCACCAGACTAAAAGATAGTATTGCAACACTCTAGCAGATTCTATATGTTGACTTGTCTCGATGATTCTTGTTGACTCTGGTGGAATTTTGATGTGAAACCGACACCACTAGTTAACTTTGGTTAGCTTATGAAGTTATCTTTCCATCTATAGGTAGAATGTCGAAAACGAGTCTGTATATGAATCCTAGGCGTCTGTTTTAGTCTGAGCTACTCCTGGAGGCTTAGATGGACTCGAACTTGATATGTATTGGGCCTCCTCCAACTTGACTTGGACACCCATGCTAGCCTCTTGAGGTGGTGCCAAGGAGGAGGTCATCCTTGGGCATCTCTGAGGTGTGCTCCACATGATTGGGACATGCTCTAACTTGGGCCAAGGTCTCAAGGGTGAATAGCAAGGCTAAGACGATGTCATAGCCTCTGACAGAAACAACATCAGCTTGTCATGATGATTTGAAGGCCTTGCCGACATGATATTGAGGTTGGGCCAGATATATTTGAAAGATGATCAAACAAATTTTCCATCAAGCGCTAATTGACCTCAATTGCACTCCAGATGAATGTGTATGATCTTCCCAATGATGTATTGCTAGGCTGCCAAGGAACCAAATGTTCTGCTTTAATTTGATTGTCTTGCACCCCAAGACATGTCTTGAGCATGGTGCATCCACATCCTATGAGCTATAGAGGTCATGTAAGAAGTCTCTCCAAGGTGTCTAGTATCCTCAAATTGTTCCCTAAACACATTGAATGTGTCAACATTAATTAGGTAGCAACAATTTTTACTTATGTCGTTGTGCAAACATAGGATCGAGCTCAGCTTGTGTTTAACTTTCATGGACGTATCTGTAGGTGTCATGTCCTCATCTTGCACCTGAGTTGCTCCATGACTTTATTTAGAATGGCTTGGAAGTTATGCGCAGCATAGGTCAAATCATGCTCGATAGTCCTTGCTAGTCTGTTTAGCGACTATTTCTGAATCCCCTTTCACAAGCAGTCGTTTAACACCCAAGGATATGGCAAGTCGTAAACCAGTTAATAGGCCCTCATATTCAGCAATGTTGTTAGTTGGAGTAGGATCAGAAAAATCAATTTAAATTGCGTACCTCATGGCATCCCCTTCTGGAGAGATTAAGACGACTCCAGCCCCTGCACCATTCTTGCATTTTGCTCCATCGTAGAACATCAGCCAGTGCTCGGGGTTTTGGGCCGCCTCCTCGGGTTCGTGATTTGTCCATTCTGCAACAAAATCTGCTAGAGTCTGCGATTTGATCATAGTCCTAGGCACAAACTCTATGTCGTATTGGCCTAACTTGACTGACCATTGAGCGATTCTACCAACGACATCTCAATTATGAACAATGGTATCGAGTGGATATGAAGAAACAACTTTGATCTTGTGACTTAAGAAATAATGCTTAAGCTTGCGAGAAGACATCAATATGACATAGAGTAATTTTTGGATGTTCAGATACCTGGATCGGGCATCATGTAGTACTTCGCTCACAAAATACACGGGGTGTTGTTTTGCTGACTTCTCAGCTTGACGCTCTACCACCAGGACCGTGCTGACAACTGTTGGAGTTGCTGCTACATAAAGGAGCATGGTTTCACCATCTTTGGGAGGAACAAGTATAGGCAATTGTTTCAAGTATTGCTTGAACGCCTGAAACGCTTCTTCGGCCTACTAGCTCCAAAGAAAACCATCATGCTTCTTTAATAATTTATAAAATGGCATACCTCATTCGCCTGACTTGGATACGAATCGACTCAGGGCTGCCATCATGCCAGCTAGCTTCTAGACTTCTTTCTTGTTGCGTGGAGACTGCATGTCGTCTATAGCCTTGACCTTCTTCGGGTTAGCTTCAATGCCTCGATGAGACACCAAGTACCCGAGTAGCTTACCCGAGGAAACGCCAAAACAACATTTGTCGGGATTTAGCATCATCTTGTTCTTACGTAAGTTATTAAAAGTTTCTTCTAGATCAGCGAATAAATCACCTTTGAATTTGCTTTTAACAACAATATCATCAATATATGCTTCCACATTGCGGCCAATCTGGCCTTCAGGAACAATATGAACACACTTTTGATACGTAGAACCAGCATTCTTAAGGCCAAAAGGCATCTTGATATAACAGTACACACACGAAAGGAGTTACAAATGCAGTTTTTCCTCATCTATGCACATGCTAATTTAGTGATACAATGAATAGGCATCTAGAAAACATAGCAATTCGCATCCGGAGGTTGAATCTACAATTTGATCTATTCTTAGAAGGGGATATTCATCCTTAAGGCATGCTTTATTCAAGTTGGTGTAGTCCACACATCCGCCATGTGCCATTAGGCTTTTTAACCATGATGGGGCAAATTGGCCACTCCGGGAAGGGAACCTCTCATACAAAACCGGCCTTCAATAACCGGTTGATTTCATCTCATATGGCGGCTCGCTTCTCGGGTGTATAGCGTCGTTGTTTTTGTCTGACTGGTCGAATGCCAGCTAGTAGACCCAATTTGTGCTCGATTACCTCCCTGGGGATCCCGGGTATGTCCGACGGCTCCCAAGCAAACACATCTTAATTTGCCCGGAGGAAAGCAATGAGCTCGAGTTCCATTCGGACTTGCCCTAATGATGTAGCTTCATCGGATCATTAGGGGCCAAATAGAGTTGTCCAATTGTTGGGTGCTCTGTTGCGACTTTCCCCTAGATCGGGGTGTGTCGTCGAGCCTGCCCCGGAGCCCCTATGTATGCCTCCCTTGATCAAGGAGTGGTTACAAGGGTATTGGCTCGAGTTGTGTCCTGGACGATGACCAACCTGGGCGATTGGAGAGATCAATAGTGCTTCTCTAGCCACGAGGGCTTCGGAGCCCTCTAAGCCTGAGCTGCGCTATAACTCTTATGGGAACACCATCCTTACGACATGTTTAAAGGCCTGTGAGTTTTGAAGGAGAACTCCTTGATCTTCCCTACAATGTCAAAACGGACAGTAGAGGTCCCAGCGTAGATAGTGGCACCGGCCGTATGCAAGAACGGTCGACCCAGAATAATGGGTGTCGTTTCGTCACGCCCTGTGTTTAGCATCACGAAGTCGGACACCACGTGAGAATTCCCGACTAAGACTTCAACGTCATCATCAATTCCTTCAACACGGCAAGTAGACTGGTCCGCAAATCTGATGCGCATATTTGTCTTCAGCAACGGCGCGAGTTGTAGTATATTATCACAGTCAGACATGGGGATAATGTTGATGGCTACACCGAGATCACAAACAGCTTCCAGAGTGTGTAGGCCAATTGACACTAAAATGATGGGACGGCCAGGGTGTCCCTTCTTGACTAGCCAAGAGACGTCTTGCCAGCCCTTGATGACTAGCTCTCGGTGGAATTTTGTTTTCACTATTTCAATGGAATCGACGTCGTCAAGTTTGGGCCGATTGGCTTGAGATGAGTGATTTCGTAGGTATGGAGGGCTGAAAAAGAACCTCCTCTTTTTCCCATTGATATTGAAACGCATCTTGGCAGTTGAGACGTAGATTGTGGCCTTCACGGTGTGTAAGAAAGGTCGACCCAAGATGATGGGCGCTTTTGGACTACGACCGGTATCCAGGACCACAAAATATGCCGTTACATAACAACCAGCAACTGTTAAGCAGATGACATCTAAAATCCCCTCGACTCGTTGGGTGGATTGATCTGGTAGCCTGACTCGTATATTTGGATCATTTAGGGCCCCGAGCTGTAACACGTCATCATAGACTAATGTAGGTATGACGTTCATGCCCACGCCCAGATCGCAGATGGCTCTTAGCTTGTGAGGGCCGATGATGATCAGGACAATTGGATGGCCAGGATCCCCCTTCTTGATGGGCCAAGTGTCATCCCACCATCTAGCAATGGGACGCTCTATGTAGTAACCCGGCTTTGCTATCTCGATGATCATGATATCATTGGTCTTCTGACGATGACGTCGAGGCATGTGGTTTGCCAGAAATTCGGATCCACTAGCACCCCGCTTTGTCTGTGATGTGAAGACTAGAGGACTCTCAACAACCTCTTGGTTAGGTTCCTCGTAATCGGAGGCGTAAGTTGAACCTCGAGATTGATCTAGAGAGATTGTCCAGATGGAGTTGTGACTTCTTTGATGGTCCTTAGTGATTCGGGACTCTTGACCCGATCACCTTGAAATTGAGATCTCTAGTGTGCTCGAAAACCAATCCACCAAAGCAGATAGTCGGTGGCATATTGCGGAGAAAAGCTTTGATCTGGGAATCCTTGGTGAGATCCCCCATGACAACAGGTGGTGCCGCAGCGACGTCGGAACGCGTCGGTTTTGCATACCAAACATTGTTGATGATTGTCATGATCAGTCTTTGTGCAAGATCCCCCTACCTGGCGTGCCTTTGTCGGTGTTTTTTACCAGTAGATATTTGGTTCTTGGGGAACCCTGCCTGGTGCGAAGAACAATCACAGACGGAGACGGATTTATACTGGTTCGGGCCCCGGGAAGCAAGTAAAAGTTGTACGTCCAGTTGCTACTCTTGTATTGCTTGTATTCGGCGAGATTGCTGTTACAATGTAGCTATGCCTATGAAAGAGTCGATGATTACAACAGGGGATATTGCTAGCTATTTATATCCGGGATCAACTTGCCCTACAAGCTAAGGAGTCGTGCCATAGTCAGAGTCCTGGTGCCATCCGGAGATATCCTTCCTTGAATAGGGCCATCATGGGCCTTCGGGTCATCTCTGATCCAAAGTCGGTAGTCGGCGATATGGAAATCGGGGTACCCGGGGGTATGGCATCGACAATAGGAAAAATCAGGGTTGAGTGGAGAAATTCTATGTATAATGCTTATTAGGAGGGTGATCGTGTGACAGATGGTGCCCCACATCACCATGTGGATAGTTTGGCCTAAAGAAACAGTTAGAGGACTTGAGTGGCAAGTTTGATGCTTTAGGAACTAAGTGCCTTAGAGAAAAGTTGGGTGGCAGGGATGGGATTGAATTAGGCCATTTTCGAAATATATTTGAATGAAGCTAAATTATGTATGAATTTATCACTATCAAGTATACCAATAGGTTTGTCATTGATAGGGGCATCTGTAACATATGAATACTAAAATTGTGGGTTGAGAAGTCCATAAATTGCATGAGAGAAAAATCATGTGACCTATTAATTGTGAAAAGACACATGGAATTGCATTGTCGACAAATCATTTTGGTAGTTCATAAAACTGAATGAAAAATGTTTTTTAACTAGAAGTGATGAGTAAATTTTCTGGCAGCGAGAGTTCGTGGAAGATTGTTGGGTCATGTACTATGGAAGTCACTGATGGAGGCACCAATCGAGGTAGATGATGATATGATTATTTATCAAGTAGTCCTAGTCTAGAAGGCTAGGTAAGTGAGACCATAACTTCACTTTTATAGTTTGTGGATCAAAATTCCATTTGGGGATAGAATTGAAACTTTATTTACTTGGGTAGCTATTGGTTTGTGCCCCTTTGTTGAAGAAGCAATGCATTTTTCATTATTTGTGACAACAAAAGTAAAAACTTTAAAATGTTGTTCAAAAGTATGGTACACAGATAACTTGATTGTAGAACACATGATCTTAAGTGACTATAATGAGCAATACAATTACACTCCCTAAAAAAGTTTGTATATTCAAAGACAAGGGTAGCAAGATGATGAAGCAAGGGATGCTGTATTTTCACGTTCTCCTTTTAACACATGGAATGGGTGTTGTCTTGATGTAGACACTCAATTCGTCCAACAAATAGGTTTACTTCACTGGGTTAAAGGGGATTATATACAATTTGGATATGCTCCTATGCATGGCCAAATCGGTTATGATCATTGCGGTGATATCTGTCTACCGAGTTTCAAGTCCTAGACTAGTCACCACATTCTATGATTTAATTCCAGGATGGAATAGCATATGTACTAAAAAGTTAGTTTTTCATTCTAATTATATATTATGGTATGATATGTTGGGTGATGGATTCTTTATTTAGGAACCCTAAAGTATTTTTCTATATTGTTTTGAATAATTCCTATAAGTATTGCCTCATCATTTAATTAAGGCAATATTGTCTCTATACTGTTATCGTGCCACTGTTCTTGCCAAAATATATCATCCAACTTAGTTGTGACATTGCCCAAATAACTCCAGCTTTGTTTGCGACATCTGGCCCTTGTCAGATAACATCTTTGGATGAGTTATATTTCAGCAGCATAGTTTCAACATAATGCAAATGTTATGGAGTCGATTTATTTAAATATATGTTATAGTTTTTCCTTACCACTATGTTTTTAGCAGACACCAACATGGAAGAGATTTCTAGCACATGCTGGACCTGGTTTCCTTATTTCCTTGGCCTACCTTGACCCGAGCAATGGTAATAATAATATCTATTGTATACTCTCTCTCTCTCTCTCTCTCTCTCTCTATATATATATATATATATATATATATATATATATATATTCTTTGATCAGACCTCACCAATATCTCTATCTATGCTCCATGTTAGCTTGGTTGTGTTGATGTTTTTGTCTAGCTGTTTGGAGCTGTTTTGGTTATGAGCACTAGTTGAACTTGTGACCGCGTACTGGTCCAATTTTTAGTATCTTGTGCTCATGTTACACTTCATTCAAGTTTTCTATAACAGCCAGGCTAAGGTCTTTTGTCTACAATAATGTTAGCTAGTATATCCAAAAGAAAGACTTATTCATTCGCCTTTATTAATATTTATGTTTGATTGGGCTGTATATTTGGAACAGTGCAAACTGATTTGCAGGCTGGATCAATTCACAAATATGAGGTACAACTCCCAACTATACTTCAATTTGTCAATTTTTTGTTTTCACTAATGGGAACAGCTTATGACATTTCATTCCTACATAATTTCCTACTATAAGAATCAGAACTAAACATGTTTTTCTTTTCAGTTGTTATGGGTTCTATTCTTTGGGTTCTTTTTTGTATTGGTCATACAATCTTTGGCAGTAAAACTGGGCATCATTACAGGTGAGCCTATTCGATCAAGTTGGTTATTATGAATGTACTCTTAGAAATATTCGACGAATGACAAGTGTCCACTAATAGGATTTGGCAGCAAAATTGAATTAGTTCCAAATTTCAGTGATAGTTTACATCTTTCAAATTCAGCCATACCCGTGACTCAACCTAAATTAGTTTGAATTATAATTAAATATTCTACTTGTCGGATCAATATACCCGACCCCAAAGCCTGAACAAAATGTTTGTAAAGCCTCATATAGTACTATTTGGTATTAAGTTTTGTTATTAGAAATAGCTAGTTCTTTTATTGAAAATTTTATTTCTTTGTTGCTGCATATGAAAACGCATCCCCTAGGTGGATGGTTGTACATAATGCATCCAAAACCTTCTTAGGTCCATTTGAAAGTATTATATACTTCACTGGTGCCTGACCTTGGATATATCCCCTAGGTTCCATGACCGTAGACAATGAAACTCCCTGCGCCACCAAAATGGATCATGAAATGTCTTTGTTATTTTTTGGCCAACTTTTATTGATCAAAGAATTTTGAACATTTCAACTTTGATAAAAGAAATAAAATTCTCATGAATTTTAAAATTCACAAGTTTTTTATTGCTATCATATATAGTAGCAAATACCATCTTAATTTCAATGTAACTACAACAGGAAGGAATCTTGCTGAGATGTGTATGTATGAATATCCAAAGTATGTGAAGTATGGCCTTTGGTTGCTCATTGAGGTTGGCGTGATTGCTGCCACTATACCAGGAGGTATTGATTTTGCTCTTGTTCATTATTTCTCCCTAGTTTGGCTGCTATGAATGCACGAAAAAAAATTAAGAGCAGTAGTAATTGTCACAACAATATGGTGTGGTAAACTCTCGAAGACATACTATTGATTCCCAAAGTGCATCTGTAGGGTGGTTTGGGATTTTGGGGCAGTAATTCCTGCCTATTAGATGTGCTATAGTTCCATATTAGCCTTGGAGGGCTCTAAAAACACATGGTTAATTCTTTTAAGATACATTGATGAAAAACATCATGTGGTTGACAAGGAAAATATATCCATATTTTGATGATCACTACATGAAAACAAGTTAATGCTGACAAGCAATAAAAAGTAATAGTGATGGACATTTTGCTATCACCTATGACTCGTCACTAATGACTGGCCAAGGTGACGAGCTTTAGCCTGTCACTTTCTGTACTAAGTAATGCTAGGCAACAATTAAAGCACACCACCTTTTATCTTGTGTAATGTGTGACAATGAAAGCACGTCGTTGAACACTGTATATAGGAGTTGGATCAATGTGGTAAACATGGATGAACTCGACTCAATATTAGCATAGCTACTATTCAATGGCAATGGCGCTAGAAAGCTTGCCAGGTAAAACTTCATGGGTGATACCTCACCACATCCACACACGGTCCACATCATCAATATTTACCATGTTGATTCAGCAGCACATTGACCGGTCATTTGAGTACTTGCAAAATCATTTGCATGTTCAAATGGTTTTTATACTAAAAAATAATGTTATAAAACAAATGTAAGTATTGTACGTATATCAACGTGAGCACTCATTGCAGCATCTTTTTTGTCATTGTATAGTTTTAGGAACAGCTTTGGCATACAACATATTGCTCAACATCCCTTTTTTGGTTGGTGTTCTGATATGTGGAGCAAGCACTTTCCTGCTTCTAGCTTTACAGACCTTTGGGGTAAGATTCTCATGTCATCACAAAATATACAAGTAATTAATATAGTGTGTCACCACCTAAGTTTGATAAATATCATATGTATTTTCATTTAACTAAAAAGCCCACAAGATACTTTCAGGAAATGATATGGTTATGCGTCTATTTATATAATTCTTTCCATTTCACTTCTAAAAAGGAAAAGGAATATTTTTCTATTATGGAGGTCAAATAATGAGGGTATAAATATGAGAAGAATTATGTAGCACAAAAAATTTCGGTGACTAAACAGTAACATATATAGTGCTTCAACTTTGGTTAGCATATAACTGACATGCAACCATTCTTTCTTTTTTTTTTTTGAAGGTTAGGAAAATGGAGCTCATAGGAGTTATTTTTATGCTCCTAATCACCGTTTGCTTCTTTGTTGAACTTAGTAGTGTCAATCCTCCTATTGGTGAGGTAATTGAAGGCCTATTTATCCCAAGATTGCAAGGGGCTTATGCCATGTCAGATGCAATTGCACTATTTAGTGTCCTCATTGTGCCGTAAGTATATACAATTTTGGATTAGGATCTTGTTGTGAAATAGTCCCTCTGTTCCAAAAAATTGTCACAGATTCAAAATTTATCCCACAATCTTGTCATTGTAGCTTATGGACAACTAATTGAGCTATCAGCATTCATTCAATCCCTCGTGCATACACGAACTGGGGGAAGATTACAACCTTTCCCATTTCTTAGTGCGACAAACAATATAGTATCACTACAATATATAATTAGGGCACTTAGGTAAATTACCTTTAGCACAAATCTGTCTTAAAATTGCTATAGTGACATTATTTTGGGAGTGAGAGAGTATCAAATATGCACCTCTCACTACCTTTTGATATTAGGCACAATCTCTTCCTGCATTCCTCATTGGTGGTATCAAGAAAAATATCACCTTCTCCAAAAGGATTCAAGGTAAGTGACCAATATTCATAATAATTCACTTTCAATGATTAGAGCATTGCAACTCAAGTTAAATTTGGAATCTAAGAAGGTCGTGCGGTATGTTGACAAATTCATAAGCAATTTTGAGGTTGATGTTTATGCATTAAGGATCGTAAGAAGGAAAATCATGCAAATATTAGCAATGTATAATGGAAGTACATGGTGCATGAAAGTTTAGATCATTGCATGCGATGACTCACAAAGAATTGTGTAGTACAAATAACAAGGATATATTTATAGAGAGTTAAATATTGCTTGTTTGAGTTTCTTCTGCAAAACATTTATATTTGAAATTCCAATTATAGTTTAATTTGACCCTTGTTTATCCAGGACACTTCAATGTTCTTCTTGATTGAGAATGCATTTGCTATGCTCCTTGTGCTACTTGTAAATGTAGCAATTGTGTCAATTACGGGGACGATATGTGCCAATACTCAGCTGGTTGATAACATCAATGCATGTAGTAGTCTTACACTGAACTCGACATCAATATTATTAAAGGTTAGTAGTTTTTCCACAAAACTACTACAAGTTAGTACTTACCCCAACATTACATTGCGCCGGATTTGTTGTAGACTTTAGCCACAGTGAAGAATGTTAGTTATTTAGCGTTCGTCTATATTATATATTAATAACAGTAACCAAGCACATTGCAATTATAAAACTTATTATACCTTTTTATTGCAACCAATTAACCCCTGCCAAGAACCAAATGAAAAAAGTTCTCATCGGTTTTTGTATATTTTCCCTTTTGTCTATATATTCCTCTCAATCGTTACGCTCCTTTTATCACCCAAATAAATTTGCCTTCGTGTTCTTTTCAGTGGTAGCCATGCATGATTTAGGTCCATTGGAACATATAACTGTTCGGTAAAACATCTGTAGCATATAAAATAACAAATTAAACTAAACTTTTTGACAGTACAACACCAAGGAAGACAAAACAAAAATAATCCCATATGGATCTTTATTATTTTTATATTCTTTTGACATATTATTAAATTTTTATGTGCAGAATATGTTTGGCAGATCAACTTCAAAAATATATGGCTTGGTATTATTAGCTTCTGGTCAGAGTAACACAGTGACTACCAGCTATTCTGGACAATATATTATGCAGGTAACTTATAATGGATGACTACAGGGGATATCAGTCCCTGATATTGTGCATATCAAGATACAATTACCTTATATATATTGTATTAATTCTATATTATATATGGAAGGGTTAGCTACATAAGATAGGCAAGGGAGAAAACTAAAAAAATAAAACCCTTATGTGCATGGATTCTAGATGGTGTAGATCATAGGGAAAGAATTGTGCTCAAAGGCCATATGCATGTTGTGAGGCTAATCCATGGTGTCCAATGTCATAATCTCATAGATAGGAGGTGCCAATATCCTTAGGGGGAGAGAGACAGAGTGAGTGAGAGTGGAGGAATATACTTATAAACCTCTTCCCTACTTACTTAATCTTATTACTGAAGTCCATATCCTTTCTTTATTTAGTGAAAATTTTAATTTGGTTTACTATCACTAAATAAGATCAAGTATTTTAATGACATGATCTATAGACATGGATGGTGTGCGGTGGATAGCCTAAGTATGGCCAACCACATGCCCTATGACTAGCATAGAACTAGGCTGCTGCTTCAGCTATATATGGGGTTAAGTTGGCAACTTGTTAGGTTGACTTTGGCCCATGGGATTATGCAACATGACATTAAGGGTCTGTTTGGTGCAACTGTGAGATGAGGAAAAGCTGCTATGAGCTATGTGTTATGGAAAAGCTATAAGTTGTTTGCTTCAAACAACTATGTCCCTGTTTGGAACCGATTAAAATCGGATTCTTGGCTGCCCCACCGTGAGAATTGCAAAAATCCTGCCAAACGCATCGCAATATCAATAAATGATTCTTTAATTTTTACCATGCAAGACTCGCCCACAACAAGAATGAACAGGGAGCCCAATTTCTTGTACTGCGGCTCCGCTACCGCATAGTGCGGTCGCGCAAAATGCGTATCCAGACATGGCTATGAAACCTACCCCTCTCTCTGTCTCCCTTAAAACAACTATAGAATATCTCTCTATTTCAACCCATTTGGAAAAGCCAAAAGCAGGATGTAAGGTGTTACGAAAATTGTACTACGTGACAGCAGCAACTTCTGCATAAGCAGCTTCAGATTGCACCCATTTGGTTGGTGTTCACTTTTTGACAGTAGAAACAATTTGTAGAAGCTAAACCAAACTCAACCTAATGGTTCCCTTATTATATTGTGCACAACAATGTCAACATCGAAAATGGATAATAGTAAATCACGCATACTAGAAATTAGTGTATTATGACCGAACACATATGCATGCCATGCACTTTATTTTACCAGAATTAACCACCATCAAATAAATTAATTTTTACAAAATCAAAAGAGAGTTTATTAAATATTTAAATTTGTCACAAATGAACTCATATTATGAATTGTGTTTCCTGTTTAAGTGTAATTTTTTATTAAAAATATAATCTATATCCAGCAAATTTTTTGAATGACAATTGAAAAATATTAGTCTCCTTTTGCTCCCAAATTTATGGAGTAAAAACTTTTGCTATCTTCATTTGGTACAGGGTTTCTCCGGGATGAGGAAATGCATCATTTTTATGATTGCTCCCTGTTTCACCATCATACCTAGTTTGATAATTTGCAGTGTTGGTGGTACCCCTTACATTCGACAACTCATCAACATATCTGCTGTAACTTCTCTGATAACCATCATCTCGTCATACAGGAATAATCAATATTAGTAGCGGTATAGAATTCTGATAATTTTTCTTCATTTTGCAGATCATCCTAGCTTTTGTGTTGCCATTTTCCCTAGTTCCTCTCCTAAAATTCAGTAGCAGTTGTGTGGTGGAAGTACCATACAAGAACTCAAATTGTGTAAGCTATCTAACTCAATGGATTACTATATACAACAACACAATATATGTAACCTATCTAATTAAATTGGTTATTGTGTGATTTCTACTTGACATTCGTGATCAACTAAAACAAATTTCAATTTATTAAATTAAATGAAAATAATGCTTAGGCTTTTCTTTAGCACTACTCACCTTGTAGGGTTGTACCTATACTATCTTGCATGCTGAATAATCGGCAATGGCATTCTGTGTCCACTGGTGCTTAGCTACTTAATGTTGTATCATATTTCCTAGTTAACACTGATATTGTTTCACTAGAAAGAGGAGAATTAACAAAAGAAAAGTTTTACATTTAATTTTAGAGGAAAGCATGATAAAATTTGTGTATGCATTCACTAATTGTAGATCATTTCCTACAAGTGGAATCTTGTTTAGAAAAACTTTAACTTTCTTGTCAAATATCTCTACCCATGCTTTGCATTTGTTAATGTAGCATTACTTTTGTTATTTGTTACACTCACATCAATTTCTGTCTTCACTTTTAGATTGTCCAAGCCGCATGGATTCTCTCCATTGTAATTATGGGGATCAATATTTATTTCTTTTGCAATAGCTTCATAAGTTGGCTTGTGCATAGTGAACTCCCAAGGATAGTCAATGTTATAATAAGCACCCTTGTCTTCCCTTTCATGGCTGCATATATCGCAGCTTTAATCTACTTGGCTTTCAGAAAAGTTAATGCTGCTGGCCTATTCCCTTCCGTGTCAGTTTCTAGTGGGACTGAAGTAGAAGCATGGAGGCAAGATGGCAACATTGATGATATTGGTGTACGTTGATATGTTTAAAACGTAGTATATAAATCTATTATTTCATGAACAAATTAATTTGTTCATACAGCACATATTCAGGGAAGACGTCAAACCATTGAATGATGTACATATATAGCTATACATATAGTTTGATGATATGGTTAGATTTGTTATCTATTTAGGCATGTAGTATAAGCAATTTTGATTTTTCTAGCTACTTTGGTATCTAATATAAGGAATTTGCTGTCTTTGGTGGTTGCTCATATTATTTGATTGGGTTAGGACCCATCTGCAATGTGAAACAATTCTACAGAACACTAAATGTAATTGTTTGTTGTCAATTCATTTGTTACTTTTTGCAACATGGAGTAAGATAATGCTGTCCATGGTGGTTACTCCTTGTAACGCCCTAACATTTGCCTCCTTTGAAAATAGGTTTAAAATAATTTATTTCTGAATTTTGTGCTCATGAAATATAGGAAAATAAAAATTTTATTAAATTAAAATTCATCATAAGGTAGCAACATGTTTGTGCATACACGTCGGTGCATTTGTTTCTTTGAATTGTGTGGATTTGAATCAAAATTGAAAACATTCAAAATGCTTTTGAAAAATAAATTAACAATGGCTTTGAAGTAAAAGAAAAGAAAATTAGAAAATAAAAGAATTTTAAAGGTTGTAAAATTTATTTTTGAAAGCCTACCAAAATTTCTCATTTTATTTGAATTGAAAAGTATATTTGAAATAATATTTGAATTCGGTTTGGTTCGTATTTGAAAATGGTTTAAGAAAAAGAAAACAAAATACAAAGGGAAATGCTCCCTCTCTTCCCCTCTCTCGGCCTGAAGGCCTGCCTCCTCATCTTGCGCAGCCCTGCAGTGGCAGCCCGGTTTGCCTATCCCTCCCCTGGAAGCCGCCGGCCCACTCCTTTCTTTTCTCTCCACTGCTCTGGTCCGTTCAGCTCCGCGCAGCCCAGCTCGCTTCTTCTGCTTCCAGCCCAGCAGCAGCGTCGGCCCGCTCTTTCCCCTCCGTTTGGCCAGCTAGCAGCCCGCGCAGGCGCAAGTTCTCTTCTCCCTCTTGGGCCGCACCGGCGCGCTTCTCCTCCCTCCCTTTGTCTCTCTGACCGGCCGTCCCCGTGCGCTCCTTTCGTTGACAGGTGGGTCCGCCACGTCAGGACCGTCTCCCACCTTGAGCCATCCCCGCAACGGACTCTGCTCCGCCGAAGGACTCCGCTGCCGTTCCGCCTGCGTCGTTGCCTTGCGCCGCAAGTTCCTGCATCCCATAAATAGCGAGCCCCCGCGCCGTGCCGCCTACCCTGCGCCCTATCTCGTACCGCCTTGCCTAGAGCTAGCCCTGAGCCGTCGTCCACCATCACCCCGCCAAGCCGCACGCTTCATCCGTCGTCTCCACGACGCCACTGACCTGCTCTCCTCCGCGGGAAGCAGCTAGGTGAGGTTGTCGTCTTCCCCGCTATCTTTCGGTGCCCTTGCTTCGCTCTATCATAGGCCATAGGCTCCCCCCGAAGAACGCCGCCGTGCCGGCCATGGTGCGCCGCCGCGTTGCCCCTGTTCTGATAGCTAGCCCCTCTATTCCCCCTCTGATCTAATTCTAGCCGCCCAAGTTAGATCCGACGGCCGATATTCGTCCATACCCCTTCGGTTGGCATATTTGCTAAAGAGACCCTCTCTTTTCTACTAATCTAACCCGTAGTCCATAGCGCAACCACATATTACGTTTTCTTCTTTGGAAAGCGTAGTTTCTTCGGTTTAGATCCAAAATATGTTTTCACCTATTTACAGTTTTGCCACTAATCTTGTTTTAGCCATAAAATCTTTGTTTTAACTCTGATTTGATCCATTCAACTTGCGTTAGGTTCGTAATTTCATGATCTACATGTTCATACTACTGTTAAATATATTTTCAACTTTTAAAATTCGAGATTAGATTTAATCTATTATTTTACTAAAGGAAATCTTGTTTAATTCATATCTTCTACGTTTTAGCTCTGATTTGACATGTTCAAGTTGCGCTAGATTCATTGCAACGAGATCTACGCGTTGGTAACAATGTTTATCGTGTCACTATTTTTGGAATTTCATGGTTTAAACTCTGATCTGAATAATAATTATGCAACTGGATTTTATAAATAAAATATGATTTGTTTTACTTTAGTTTTATAATTTAAATCTAAATTTGGATTGATTCCATTCATATTATTTATAAAACATCTTATATATATGAATTTAAATAATTAAAATAAATGAAGCCTATAGGTTTCTTTTCCACGTATAAAGTAAATTTATCGGTAGATGTATCTTTTGCACCGTAGCTCTGATTAGCGTGCTTTTCGCGTTTGTGTGTTCGTAGTGAGACGTATATTCGTTTTACAAACTTTTCATCTTGATTTTATGTTTGGTGTATTGTTCTAATTTAGATCTATTGTTTGCTTTGTGTATGATTGTATGGATGCTTGTGTGGTGCTTTATGATTTCGTCTAGTCGGTGAGATATACGTGGTGATCAAGAAGAATAAGAAGTAGAACGTTGAAGATTAAAGCTTACCGAAGGATCGGTGTTTTAAGACAAGTATAGCATGGGATCATCCTTGTTTCCTATACACCTTTAATCATTTAATACATGCTGCATGTGTCTACCTTTACTACCACTAAGGATATCCTAGTCTTTTGTACTTGCATTGGGTAGCTTTGCTAGTGCTCAACTACAACCATGATCTTGTAACTTGACTAATAGTATATGCAATAAACATTAAAATATGACTTTTTAGCAACTTGGAAATAGGGGGCTGGAGTGTTTAGCTACTTTCTAAATGCTTCAAATTCCTCTCCCTAAAGACTTATCTGTAAGTGATCATCCGGGACTTACAATACAATAATGAGGACTACATGGCTCTGGTCTTAGTCTAGTACCTTGCTCTTTCTAGTTTGTAGCAGTTTACCAAAAGGGCAAGAGGGGCATACTAGGCTGGGTATGGGCCTCATCCCTAGGGTGTGTATTATGCTGCGTGTATAAGTGACACTTCTGGATTTAACTCCATAACACTTGGGAGATGGAATCCTTAGCAGCTGCTCCTTATTAGAACGACTAGGGAAAAGCTTCGTAGTGAACCCTGCCGACCTTCCTTGGTAGTGGGTCAAGAGTTTGGCCGCCTCGGGTGAAAGGGTAAATCACGACTCATGGTGAAAGTGTACAACCTCTACAGAGTTTAAAATTGATATATCAGACGTGCTCATGGTCACGAGCGGCCTTGGAACCCTTACGGAATAGATGATCACTAATGGTTAATGATGAAGAATACGGATGATACTGATGATGAAGATGCTCACTAATGATTACTGTTTATGCTATTCATTATTCATGTTTACCTGATCATGTGTTTATATGGGCTTATGAATAAACTTGTTGCCACCCAATTGCTAAAAGATAACTCATTAAAAGCGAATTGCAGTTAAACCAGTGTCAGCTTTTTGAGCCTCATGAACCCCATGTTATATTTGTTGAGTATGACATGTACTTACGCTTGCTTTACTTTTTAAATATTTTAAAAAATCCTGGATGGGTACCAGATTGCTAGTTGGAGGAATTAGGCTTGTGATCAACCAGTCAGTTGTCCCTATGGAAGTGGAGTCTTCACTTGAAGATCTGAGTTGTCTTTCCGTTGTCTATACTCTGAGGTTATATTCTTTATACTAATATGTTTTGTATTTAAGCATTGTCTATTGATATTACCCTTATTTGTAGCTATATGTGATATTTGACTTCCTGGGCTCACATATGGTATGTATCTGGTTTTGTCCTTAAAATTGGGTGCTACAAAGTGGTATAAGAGCAATGCTGACTATAGGACGCAAGCCTAGTAGAAACTAATCGTTTTAAGGTTCAGAAGTTGCTACAAAAACCCTTGCTCTTTGGGCCTTGATATTTTCTTTTCTACCATATCTCTACCCTTGCTATTCATCTCTACCTTAGTGCTTATTTTAAAGTCGTTGTTCTCATCTTCACTCCTTGATTTGATATTCTTTTAGAACTGTTCCTCACCACCTTTTTGCGTAATCTAAAGATGAGTCTTAGGATTATTACCCCTAGTACAATGAGGATGATAGTATCGCAAGTTGAGCCCATGATTGAGTTGTGCACCTTTATTACTTGTTGAATTGTCATTATGCTTATGATTGTTTTGCATCTTTATAATGATTGCAATAATCTTGTTGGGTGTTCCCACAATTTCATTTAGCTTATAGGCCTAAGGTATAAGGATTAATGAAATAAATAGTTGGGTTAGGGTTTTCTTCCGTTCTCCCTATCCCGTCTTTTCGGAGCAGTCTGCACTCTTTGGCTTATATCTCTGATTTTGGATGATCAGAAATCATTAGAAAATTCTGGACAATAGTAGACTTCGGTATCTCTCTGTGACCACAAGAGCCGCCCTCATATCTATTTTGGTTATAGAGTTACAAAAATCACAAGGCGATGCATCTGTGCTGTTTGGAACCTACAACCGTTTCTGTTGTGCACTATTTTTGATCAAGTTAACTGCAGAATTTGGAAAAGTGTTCTATAAGAAAGTTGTGGAAATTTTATAAGATTTCTAATGGTATAAATTACAACTTCATTGGATTAATAGAATAAGAGTTATGACTGTTTTACTGCGCTGCTATTTTTCATCCCGCGAGGAATTCCAGCTTTCTTGTTCTTGCCCATACACAAGAGCCTCATTGGGATGTCAGGATGTCATGATACTAGTTAGCTCATCTGGAAGAAGGAGCAAGCTACCCTTCTTGTGTCCACTAGTTGATCTTTTCTTAAGGGGGTAGCCAAGCAAAAGAAGTTGCAAGATGAAGGTTTCATATGTTCTGGTGCTTCACTTGAAGTATAGGTTATGCTTCTGGATGAGAGATCACCATCAAGCGCAGATGGATAATTTGTTGGGTCGTCTATAAGGAACTGATGCATTCGTCAAGAATGGATTCTCTCTTCGAGCTATTATCAATTGGGGGGTATAATCTTCAA